CTCCTACCTGGCGGACGACTCGTCTATCATGTATTGCAGCACAATATGTTATTTAGGTCGAAATGAGCGACGCACAAGTCTTGATGTTTCAAAAAAACGAACGAGCTTTCCGAAAAAAGTAAAGTTTACGGCTTAAGATCGTGCAAACACGGCGTCGCGAGCAGTTTCAAATAGGGAGTAAAGAAGCTTGACGCCGCCAACTTTCTTTTTTTAGCTCGGTGTGCTATAATAATAAAACAAACAGTCTACTTCGTGGCAATTGGGGATAACCATCTTTACTCGACCAGAAAAATTACATCTACGGCAGAATATCAGGTTTTACAGGCTCATTAGGACAGGTTTCCACCAACCACAGCTCCAACATAACTTTCGAGGTTCGATTATGTGCCAACCAAGAGCTTTTCATTACCCACTGCGCACTGTATATTAAATTTAGGATGGATGTCATGTCGCGCAAATCCTGAAAGTCACCAGCAGCGGCGGCAACCTTATCATCAAAGTAGCACTCTGCATGATCAAGGGAGTACCAACACGGCTCTAAGTATAGCTAGTTAGGTCATGCTCAAGCCAACCTCTGAAACGCTTACACTAAAAAGCACCAGCACGGATTTATTCAATTCTGCTTCAGATGAACTGCATCACCGCTCCTTTTATACGGTATAAGGGCTAGGGTATAAATTATATCCTAGTCTTTTTTGGTGCCTTTATCAAGCTCCAAATTCTAAACTTTCAAATATAAAAGAAAACATCATACATGTTACTAGGGTTTAGAGCAGTATATACCGTACTCCCATTTGTGATTATTAAACGCAAAATCTCCAGTCCATGTTTTTCTAAGAATGTTTTTCGTAGGTATTAACTATGATTGGCCATGTTTGCAAAATAAAGTATATTTCGGATTATTAAATGTGGCCACTCAACCTTCTACCGCGCGTCGCGAGAAGCGTGCCGATCCGAACAGCGCACGTACCGGTAGCTACAATGTTGGGGAGAAGGGGGAGAGCGTATTAAAACTGTCGTGGGCAGGTCAGTGAGCTTAGTTGCGTTGAGAGAGCGACATGTCGAAGGGGGAGCTATATCGCATGTAACGTATTACTATCACCCAACTGGCTGATAGTAATGTGAATTTGGAATCGGGAATCCAGGCTGTCTGTGAGCAGCCGACTGCAAGCTATAGTGGGGTCGAGAAGTGTAGTGATGATGGCTCGAGTGGAAGTCGCAAGCGGAGTGTGGTGATGAATTGTACTTTAGCGATAATTTGATCACCGCGTACGGATAAATGGTAGAAGACATCTACATCAACAACACAACCATTTTGTTGCCACCCATGAAAACGCCGGGTCCAAAGGCCCCCAAGAAAGGAATGCGTATTCCACCCACGACACTGAGCTTGATCTCCGCAGCCAGTTCGGAACGAGTTTTCTTGCCGCTGAATATTAACAGAACTCACTGGACCTGCCTCGTGGTGGACGGATCTAGGCAGACTGTGTGCTGTTACGGTAGCATAGACAAGCGCGCTAGCCACAACTTGCTTGCAGAGCTGACAGATGAGATCGTGAAGAAAGACTTTTAGCATCACGGCCGTGCATAGCCCCATCCAGAAAGACGGTAATAACTGCGGGATATGCATCTGTTTGTACTTCTGGCGCCGGTTCTGGAAGAGAGCAGGTGGTAATTACACGGCCAATGGATTGTTACGCCGTCGACAGGATATCCTGCGTACCATCATAGAGCTCAGCGACAAAAGCAACGGCAAAAAAGAAGCTAGCCGAGTAGACACAGTTTCTAAATCCAAAAACATGATTCCTGTACTTTCATAAGTAATATATTGAGTTTCGCGTCAATTCGTAAGCGCTGACCACTTACCTTTTATCAAAAAGAAATATTCTTACTCGTATTTTGACAAAGGCTCACTATACAACGCCTTGCCATCCCGAGTTTCCAACAAATCGTAAGTGGAATCGTCTTACGATTATACGCTGTTCCAATTGGCCAAAACTTGATTTAAAACTACCCAGAAGCCACTGTAAAATGAGTGAAGGAAGCGCGCAACAGACCAGCGAAAGCGCGGCCTGCGGTATGGCTGTAGCTGACGTGGAGGCAATCCGAGATGCCTGCGTTACCAAGGAAACACGAGGGAAGTACAAGAGTAGCTTGAACGGCATTGCAAAGTGGATTCGCAAGGAGCTTGCTAAAGTCGACCACAACACGGATCGATTCTTCGACAGCAATGGTGAACTTAATCTATTGGAGTTCACGCCTCCGTATTTTGAGCAGTTTCTTGTTTACAAAAGCCGTGATGTGAAAGCTGGGACACTAAGTGGTTATCGGAGTGCAATTAAGGACCTGTATAGAGTGAGGCGTCTAGCTTTGCCGCCTGAATATGGAGATGGAATGAAACAGCTTTTCTCGGGAATGAAGCGCATGGAGGCTGATAGTGACCAGATTAGTAACCCGAAGACGTCCGGGAAGCAGCCATTGACCTACTCGCTTTACCAGAAGCTCTGTATAGAAACTTTGGAACTTGGTGATGGAGGTTTTTCTCATCTCTTCCTAATATCCCAATGGAATTTAATGTGCAGATCAATATCTGTTCAAACCGTACAAACTCAGCATTTTGTGGCTAAAGACGATGGCATTGGTGTAATATTTGTCAAGACAAAAACGAATCAGGAAGGCACTGGGCCGCGTGATCCTCGTCACGTTTACGCGAATCCGCTAAGTCCTTCTACGTGCTGGGTAACAGCGCTCGCAATTTACTTGGCGTGCCACCCGAGATTGCAACAGGGGCCACTATTCCCAGGGTCCAACCAGAAGCTTCGATTTAGTAAGACTTTGGGTAGTCTTCTAAAACTCGATGGCTCCGCAAAAACCTATGGTACTCACTCGGTACGAAAAGGTGTCGCGACATTTGCGTGCGGTGGAAGTACTGGGGGTCCTTCAATTGTGAGTGTTTGTTTACGCTGTGGTTGGTCACTTGGTGGAGTTCAGGATCGCTATTTCCGCTACGAAGCAGCAGGAGACCAATTTTTAGGTCGCGTCGTTGCTGGGCTGCCTATAAACGATTCAAAATTTGCTACACTACCGCCACATTTTAACTCCACCGGTGATAGCGCAACAACATCAGTGATAAGAACGGTTTTTCCGAGTCTTGCGGATGAACCTAATTTAAACGGCATTTTACAGTTATGTCTGGCGTCGCTGGTTTTTCACAGGAAATATTTACAGCAGAATTTACCAACAAACCACCCTCTGCTCTCGACAATAGTCTTTACGAATGTGAGCGTTTTTCACAGCCTACAAGAACAACTTCAACTTGGCGATTCGAGCTGGATGCACCCGACAGGTATTCCGCCCTACATTGAGCTCTACAAAAAACTTGATAAGCAGCAGCAGTCTATCGACTTACTTCCTGATAAACTTGAGCAAAGAATGGAAGCGATATTGGAAAAGAAAGGTGTGGCAGCGGGTAATATAACGAGGGACCTTTTGCATGAGGAATTAAGAGCGTTATTAGAAGAGGTTGGGCTTCAAAAAGAGAAATCAGCGGCCTTATCAACTTTATCGACAGCACAAACTCGCTATTATCATACATGGGGTGGGAAATTTCACGTGCTTCCAAAAGACTTCGCCTTTCCAAGTATCGATCCGCTGGGGGCGTGGATACTGTGGTGGTTCGGCAATCCGGAGCTTAACTATCCACCATACAAGGGTATACCATCGGACGATCTGGACACGCCACAAAAGAAAGCAACACTGTCAGAGTGGTCAGTTATGATGCGGCATATCATAAACGGGATTGAAAAAGACCTTGGAAAACCGATGCCGGCCATCCGTGACGAAGTTCATGCCATCGAGCTGTTTAAGATTGGGTACAACACACTGGAGTTAAGGCCAAGCAAACGAAAACGGAGAAATGCCCAAATCAAGCTCACCACAGTACTAAGACTCATCAGGGAAGCCGGCCAGGAGCAGAGAAGTCCGGATGGCATATGTGGGCGGCCACTTAGGCGCCGGAAGCGGCGCACGCGCCACAGCAATAGTACCTGTGCTACAGGGAACTCGTCAGTGCGTGATGAAGAGTAAACTTTCTAGTGCACGACTCAGCGTTAAAATAACTGTTTTCATCCAATCAAAAGTCTCCCCCATAACGTCGGCGATTGCATCTTACGTTTTCTCAACTCAATTGATTTCAGAACTTCATCATGCTTTGAGATGAGTACAGCAAAATCTCTCATTACAAAAGGTAGTTTGGCCATGCAATACAGTAGTTGAGAATGTCCGACAAAGCCAAAGCGCACTCATTCTTCAATTTTCACACCCTACTGCGGATATGGTTGCCCATGTCACGCCATATCACAAGCATATTCAGCCTAAATTTCACGCTCCTCGTAATTTATGTCGTAACGTTAGAATCATGTGATAAAAGTACATGCTTTAGCCACCTAACCTTTTTCGAAAACATGGCTGAATCACAAATAGGAGTACGGTATTAAAAAAAAAAATAGCGTACGCACAAAAGGATACGAAAGATATCTTTCTGAAACGTCACTACCGGATCAGCCACGACGAAGCAATGCGTAAGCGGCCAAACAAGTACAATACTGCAGTCACTGCTGTCAGCCATAACGATGTAGCTCAACCCAACAAAAATACATCGAGTGGCCAGTCGAAGCAGGCAAACAACACATCAAGTATCTCCATCTTCGCCTTCATCCTGATAGTTGGTGCTCTATTGACCCAAACGTCACGGTTCGCCAACTTGAACGCTGTCCCTGATCAATTATCAGAGCAGGAAAAGGTTGCAGCCTTCGTAAATTGGTTTCGCGCGGAAGGTGGCAACGTCAGCGACAAGATCGCGATAAATAAATTCCCCGAAATGGGCAGAGGTATTATGGCTTTGCAGTCTGTAAAGGAGAACGACAACCTGCTTTTCGTGCCAAAGAGCATCATCATGTAAGCAATTTATCATCTTGTTTTTTAGCTACATAAATTAATCGATGTACAGTTGTTACGATACGATAGCCACAGAGTGGAGCTCACACGCCAGCCTGAAAAAAACATTATCGAAGTTAAAAAGTGATCAAGAAGAGTTGTTAACGGCATTTTTAATGCTGGAACAAGCAAAGGGCCACGCGTCTCGATGGGCTCCGTATTTTCAAGTGCTACCGTCATTTATTTCGAAAAATACCGTCCCATCGCCACTTTTCAGCAACGAAGAGGATGTCGATGCCTTACAGGACGAACGTATGATACAAACTGCACGAACTGAGAGGCAGAGAGCCAAGAAAGCGTATGGTCGGTTTAAACGACTTTTTCGCTCTTTTCTGGATGATAAAACTATGAGTTTATCACGATATCTCTGGACTCGTTTTCTAGTTAACTCGAGAGCATTTTCGATCCGAGGTCAGCGTGTGTTAGTGCCATTTGGAGATATTTTCAATGGAGAACCAGACGATGAAGCTCGGCAACAAGACAACGGACAGCGGTTCCTTTTGTTCCATGATCTTCAGCCTCAGGGCATGACTATCCGAGCAGATCGCGACACGTTGAGTGGCCAGCATCTCTTTGAAGATTACGGAGACAACAGCAACTATGTGTATTTCCTGCATCATGGGTTTCTTATGAGCGATAAAGGTTTCGACTGTGCAGTTTTTCGACTTCCAAGACTGGCAGAAGCTTCTCTAGAAGATAGTGGAATCTTAGCGTCGAAGTTGCATATTTTATCACGGATTCGAGTCGACGATGCGCCGCAGGTGTGTATTTCTCGAGCTGGAAATGTGGAAGACTCTGATCTGGTGCGTGTTTACACAGCTCTGTACAATATGAATGCTGAACAAGTCCGAGCTTGTGATAATGCTAGAGCATTTAGTGAATGTTTCCCGTCTGAATTGATGCCAGATCTAGACACTGAACTTGGATATCACGAATTATCGCTGTTGCTGAAGTCTATCAAGCTGCAATTGGAGAAATATGCTACTACTCTTGAAGAGGATCAAACAATACTTCAGCATCTTACGGATGTTACGGTATCTGGTAACAAACACGCTGTAACTTTCCGATTAAGTCGAAAGCAGATTTTACGTGAAGCTCAAAGAAATTTGGCAACACAGTTGAAAAATAGCGAAAGGAAAGCCAAAAATGACGTTAGCGAACCTCAATTATCCCCTTCTAAAGAGCTTGAGCTTGAGGAGGTTGGCAACAAGCTCGAACGATTCCAACAATGGATCGCTCGTCATCATTTCCCAGTGAATTCTTTGGAGTTGCGATACGTCAGTGAAGCCGTCGGGTACGGCACGTTTGCTGTCAAACGTCTAGCTATTGGAGACGTGTACCTGAAAGTACCCGTCCAAGTCGTTATGAATGTCTGGTCAGCTGTGAAGTCTCGTTGGGTAAGTCAAACGATGCAGGAGCTTCAGAAGCAACGTGTGAGTGTTGACAGAGAAGAAATGCTGCTACTTCTTCACCTTTTAGAGGAGAAATTTGGTCCGAATCATCGTCACTCATTCTGGAAACCGTATCTGGAAATGCTACCAGATTTAGAAGACTCCTTAAACTCACCTCTGTTCTATGAAGAAGTAGAGCTAAAGACACTTGAAGGCACCGATCTGTTAACTCTTGTGGTTAACTATCGCAAGCGAGTGGCTCGATCCTATGTTACTATCGCGAGCTACTTGAAGCAATCGGGTCATGATGAAACACTACAATGGCTCACTGAAAGACGCTTCCGATGGGCCAACGCTGTGCTTGACTCTCGTAGTATTTGGTGGAGCGGCCAGCGCCACCTCGTGCCGCTACTTGACATGGTTAACTGCCAAGAACTCAACGTAAATCACAAACCGCATCACACGATTCTCGACTCATCTGGTCGTCACGCGGTCACGAAATCGTCCTGGGAGTTCCAAGCTGGTCAAGAAGTTGTCGAGAACTACGCTCAGACAAACTACATTTACTTACTCTACCACGGCTTCGTCTTGGACTCCAACAGCCACGACTGTGCTCATTTCCATCTCGAGATGCCAGTTGCAGCACGTCACCGTAGATTTTCCGTCCTGCTTCGAAGTCTCGAGATTTTCTCCTGGACTCCCGATTTGTGCGTGTTTCCCTCGGATAGCGAAAGTATCATGAGGTTCTCGAAAATTGCCCTGTTCGTATCAGATCCCGAGAAAGCGTTGCGACTTGCTGGAAATGCAGCAACTGCGCCATCGCAAGCTACTGCGGCAGCGTTGAAGCTTGTGGAAGATCGCTTGACCCGCTTAGAGTCCACAACTGCTGACATGTCGACAACAGATTTTAGAACGCAATCGATTCTAAAATTTCGCCTGCAACAGTTGCACCAGTTGGCAACTCTTCGCAACAAATTGTTGCCAAAAAAAATCAAATGAAAATAAAAAGTTGCAAAAGAATTTTCAAATTCGAAAAACTCCCATCTTTCGACTGCAATTAACCTTCGAGTTGTAAATTCGCTACTTTGGCAAAAGCCGCAACAGTAAATTACCAAGCCCTGAAGCTGTGGCAAGAGCTCAAGCTGCTTAACCACGGAAGGTGCAGGGGCGCGAGGCCTTGAAGACCGAGTTGTGGTGCTTCTCGGCGGCACGCGGCAGGCGGTGCGACAGCGGGAAGGCGATCTTCGAGTCGTGGAACTGCTGCACGTTCGTCTTCTGCGTGTCCTTGGCGGCCACAATGGCAGTGCGCATGATCTGGATTGAGCGCGGGCGAGCACGGTGACGGCCAGCCAGCTCAGCGTACATCTGCTCCACAGCGCTGCAGAGAGTCAAGTCACGGTACTCCTTGTACATGTTGTGGGTGCCGCTGCGCGAGTTGTAGCGGATCCAGATGCCGTAGTTGTTGACGACGCGGCGGTTCTTCTCCGTCAGCTGGAAGTGGCAACATATTACAACATAGAGGTCAGTTTTATAATTTTCGAAAGGATTGTCATGAAGCGAGGAGCTTCCTCGTCCTGCAGTAGTGGGTTGTTCAGAGTCCGGGCTTACAGTCAAGTACCCCTCATTTTGGTCCAATCCAAGAGAGCTAAACAACGGATCACACCGCGATCTCTCTAGCGACAAAGCGGTTTGCAAGCTGGAGTGGAGAGTGGCATGAGGGAAAGCCGACGTTCTCTCCACTCTCGTGGCAGGCAAGCGCTTATAACTAGGTCGCTAGGAGGAATGTACAACACACCAGTCACGGCTGTGCGTACGTGGGACGAGGTTGGCACCTCCACCTCTCAATAGTCATTGGTAATAACTACTGCGAGGATTTTCACTTGACTGGCTGCAGACGCACCTCGTTGATGTCCAGGATCTCGCCCGTGGTCTTCTTCATCTTCTTCATCTGATGCAGGAAGTACCAGAAGCGCGACTGAGCCAGCACCGGGTTGGGGGCGAACAGCTTCATGCGGTAAGCCGGCGGGTTCGGCTCCTTCTCAGTGGGGGCCTTGCGGCCAACGACTTGGAACTGACGGATCTGTTCGTTTTGGCAACAAGAAAGTGGCAAAAGAATCGGTGAGTTACGAGTAACATTTCGCATGTTGCCATGAGTTTGCCACTTTTAGCCACTTTGACATACCGGCATGGTTCTGCTTAAGGGAGTCTTCCGGGGAATGAGCGAGAAAGCGGCGATGAAAAGGCAAACGATTTTACTGGCGGAGGACAGCCCGATAGTTTTAGCCAATAAATATCGAATAGTGCCCACAGCCCGGGTCACGAGGCCCAAACCCGCACTTTAATAGCTTCTGATTGAATGAAATTTTGTTCCTGCGAGAGGCGATAGTGAAAGGTCGCAAAGAAGTAAAGAAGTACAAATTGATAGAATATAATAGTTTTGTTGAATATTGAATAACTCTTCTCAATTGACTACAGGGCGAACAGTCTTCGCGCTGCACTCCCACCACACGGACTGTTCGTTCTGATGGGCCACCCGCAGTCTGATCTCACGACACCATTCGTTGAAACGCCAATCACTCCGTTCAACCTCGAATTCGTATCCATGAAGATTGTCGATGTAGCTCGCGATCAGCCACTGCATTAGTTCCAACGGAAGTCGAATAATAGAATTCCGATGCAGCACAAAGCCCTCTGAGCGATGAGTCTTCAGAAACATGGCCACTTCAAAATGAGCGCCAAGAATCGCTCGGGTCATTGCAGCAACTGTGCAACCTTCTTCACGATTTTCATGTAGGAATTTCACAATAGCCAAGTAGCCATTGGCGGCTGATGTGTTCATGGCGTCGGCGGTGCAACCCTCATCTCGGTTCGCATGTAGCCATTTGACGACCTCGAAGTGTCCGTTCTCAGCTGCCATGTCCATAGCTTTTGTCGTGCAACCCTCACTCCGATTCTCGTGTAGCCACTTCACCACATCAAGATGTCCTTTGCTTGCCGCCGCGTCCATTGCTGCCGGTGTACACCCTTCTTTTCTGTTTTTCTGAAGCCATTGCACGATGTGTAGATGGCCATTCTCCGCCGCTGCATCCATTGCCACATGGGTGCATCCCTCACGTCGATGGCTATGTAGCCACTTTACGACGTCTAAGTGCCCTTTACTAGCAGCGCCATTCATTGCTGCGTTGGAGCAACCTTCACTTCGGTTTTCATGTAGCCATTTCACGACCTCGAGATGACCTTCTGTCGCTGCACCGTCCATCGCTTGCTCCGTGCATCCTTCCTCCCGATTATCATGTAGCCACTTGACGACGTCAAGTTGACCGAACGTCGCGGCACGGTCCATTATCGCAGCGCCACCGTGTTTGTATCCATTGTCGTGCATCCATTTGATCACGTTTAGATGACCGTTGTCTGCAGCATGCCACACTGTGGGTGAAAAGGGGACGCGTAGTTCATCATGGAGCCATTCGACTACCTCGAGGTGTCCATTCAATGCTGCGACTTGCAGCGTGTAGAATCCTGGCCCACCGATTGATCGTGAGCGCAAGTAGTGCAAAAATGATATGGCTCCGTCTTTAGCTGGTAGATCCCAGTCGATCCAGGGTCCGATGATACCGCAGTTGTCAAGAATCCACCTTGCCATCTCCCACTGCTTGTTAGATTGTGCACTCCATAGGGCGTCCTCAGCACTTGCACGGCAGCTTTTAAACAGCCATTCCACGATTTCTACGTTACCAGCTGCTGCTGCGGCTTCCATCACTTTCTTCAGACTATCTTTACGAGGTACTGCGTTCTCACGAAGCCACTCGATCACCTTTGATTGGTTGTTGTGAAGTGCTCCACACATCTCAGTAGCGCCCCAGTAGCCGATTTCGCGATGGTTATCGTATAGCCATTGCAGGATGTCAAGATGTCCATTAGCTGCTGCTGCAGCTACCGCCGTCGTGAGGTATTTGGGTTTGTAGCTCTCTATCAGCCACTTAATGGTCTTTAAATCCCCGTTAACAGCGGCAATCTCTACCGTTCGATTGAACAGATATCGGTTGTAGAACGGGTCTAATTCTTCCTTCAGCTCTCGTGCAGCGACGTACTGCATCAAGCGCAAGCTACCCGTTCGTTCATAGACGTCATGTGCTGTCGTACCAGTCGAGAAATCGTCGAGCAGCGCGTTGATAGTCAGCAGAACGTGGGGCAGCTCGCCATGGAGACAGTGGTGACCCAGCACTCGAACTTTCGTGAGTAGAGGCGATTGGCACGCGGCGTTTGTATAGGAGACCATCGTGTCGATCTTGTTGAGTGTCTAGAAGCTGGAGAATTGCGTTATGACGGAGGCATTGTCCGTCCAGGATAAGCACCCACCTTAAAGTTCAGCGGGACGTTACGCCGTGATGGGACGCTATCATTCATGAAAGATGATTGGTCAATTCACTTCAACGTGTATCTATGTCTCTTTAAAAAAGAGTCTTTATCAACTTCGAGATGATGCAGTTTAACATCATATCCACGATGATGCTGATTAAGACGAGCGATTATCCTCTAAAAGCAATTTTTTTAAACTTTAAAGTTTTTGTGATTGTGACAAAAACGACTTGTCGCCGAGTCTCAGCACCCAGTATTTCACTGTGGAAAACTACCAAATTTTACTTATTCTGCAACGTTCCCGATGCGAAGTGAGGACCCACCACGTAGATGCATCGTTGTCTTGCATGCGCTGCAATTTAACTCTCGCGCACCACTCGTTGAAGCGCCAGTCGGAGTTTGGCACCTCGAATTCCCAGCCATCCACTTCATCCGCGTAGTTAAGCAGAATCCATTCAGTGAGTTCCATACACAAATGACACATGAAATGTGTTGCTAAGAAGGAGAAATCTTCAGACCGAAGAGCATGCAGGAACAGTACTACGTCCACGTGATTTCGCATCAGAGCTCTTGCCAATGCAACAGACGTTGAGCCTTCACAGCGATGGCTTACAAGCCACCGTATAACGTGCAAATGACCGTTACTTGCGGCGTCGCGCATTGCATTGGAGGTGCAACCCTCGGTGCGGTTGACATGTAGCCATTTGACGACATGAAGATGGCCGTTCTTGGCGGCGTTATCCATAGCGGTGTCGAGACAACCCTCGCTTCGATTCTCATGTAGCCACTTGATGACATCAAGATGGCCACCAAACGCAGCCCAATCCATGGCCCATGTAGTGCAGCCTTCTGTTCTGTTGGCATGTAGCCATTTCACAATTTCTAGATTGCCATTATGAGCAGCCCAATCCATCGCGGACGTCGAACAGCCGACATTTCGGTGTTCGTGGAGCCATTTGACCACTTCAAGGTGTCCTTCACGAGCAGCTCCATCCATTGCAGACGTTGTGCTGTTAGCGTTTAATTGTTCATGCAGGTACTGCACTATATCGAGTCTACCGTTAGTTGCTGCGTCGTCGAGTAGAACGTCAAAGCAGCGGTCGCTTTGGTGTTTATGTAGCCACTTAACGACATCCAGATGACCACTTCAAGCTGCGCTGCTTATCGCTGCTGAACACGTCGGATGAATGTTGTGCTTATGTAGCCACTTCACAACGTCAAGATGTCCACTACTAGCAGCGGTGATCAACGTGTTAACGTCACAACCAGTGCATCCTTGCTCATGAAACCATTTCATGGTATCCAGATGGCCATTTTCGGCTGCCTTCTTCATGGCATCACATGTCAACATTGCACCAAGATCAAAATGTAGCCATTTCACAATGTCTAAGTGGCCATTGCTTGCGGCTGCTTGAAGCGTAAAGTAGCCAAGATGGCCGATGGAGTGAGAATGAAGGAGCTTAAGAAACTCAAGTGCACCGTCCTTTGCCGGTTGGTCCCAACTGATCCATGGTAAGACCAGGTGACGTTGTTCCAAGATCCACCGACTCGTTTCCCACTGGCAATTGCTCATAGCGTTCGACAAGGCGCTACAAATGGAAACATTGTGTTCTTCATGGAGCCATTTGACAGTATCAAGGTTGCCAACTACCGCAGCAGCATCCATCACCTTCGACATGCATTCAGGTCTCGGTACTGCATGTGTCTGAAGCCATTTTATCACTTCGACATGGCCATTCGTCAGCGCCCCACACATCTCCGTGTGGTTCCAGTAACCTCTGTCACGGTACTTCTCGTACAACCACCGCAAGAGATTCAAGTGTCCATTTGCAGCTGCTGTTGCCACAACCTTGGGCGAGAATTCGTCGGGGAGGTAGATTTCCATCAACCATTGAAGCGATTCCAAGTCTCCTCTTAGTGCTGCCATCTCCGTTACCGTATTGAACAGCCAGCGACGGTAGAAGGTGTTTATCTCGTCGGGATCTTCACGAGCGGCGAGGTATTTCATCAATCGCACACTACCCGTCCGCTTGTAGGCCTCAGCAATGGTGCAGTCGGCAGAGAAGTCGTCGAGGAGCTCATTGAGGCGATACACAACGTGTGGTAGCTCCCCGTCGGCCAGACAGGATCTCGCCACGACGCGAGCACTCGTAAGCATAGGCAAGTCAGTTCTCATGTTGCGTTCTTCAGAGTAAGATCCTCGAATGATTATTGGCTATCTACTTCAACTGCGTGGCTCTGTTGCATCAATTTTGTTGCTTACATTTTTTTTCTTCATTTTTTACATGTAGTGTATCCGCAACTACGGATGGTGTATCATACTTAAACACAAGTTGTCTAGGCTTGCGCAAGTGGGTTTACCTCGCCTATGAAAGCTTCGCGTTCACTCGTTCCCGCTTCCATTTTGAGCCAATGAAGGATGTAGAATTTGCCAAGTGCGTAAATTCGAAGCCGATCACGACCGAGCTGGTGGCGGTGGTGGGCAAAGAGCCACATGAGAATCTCCAGTTCTCCTGCTGCTGTGGCATTGACGAAAGCCTTTGCTGAACAGCCCTCTACACGTTCGTGATGAAGGAAGTATATAACATCGAAATGGCCACCACTTGCGGCACGATCGATTGCTGCAACAGTGCAACCTTCTTTGCGATTTTCATGTAGCCATTTCACCAAGTCAAGATGGCCATTGGCAGCCGCATTATCCATAGCTGCAGCTGTGCAACCTTCTTTGCAATTTCCATGTAGCCATCGTATAACGTCGAGATGGCCACCAGCGGCTGCGTTATCTATTGCACTAGCGGTACATCCTTCACCTCTGTTTGTGTGGAGCCATTGGACAATGTCCAAATGCCCATCAGCCGCAGCAAGGTCCATAGCGTCGGTAGAGCAACCCTCAGTTCGATGTTCATGTAGCCACTCTACAACTGGCAAGTGTCCATTTTTCGCTGCCAAGTTCATTGCCGCAATCGTGCAACCCTCGTTGCGATTTTCACTCAGCCACAGTAAAGTTTCCAAGTGATTGGATCTTGCTGCTGCGTCCATTGCTGCTGTTGTGCAGCCTTCGTTTCTGTTGCTATGCAGCCATTGTACCATTTCAAGCTGGCCTTTTGCTGCCGCTCCGTCCATCGCACGTTCAGTACACCCCTCTGTCCTATTTGCATGAAGCCAGTGCACAATTGCCAAGTGGCCGTGTTTGGCCGCTCCATCCATAGCGTCAATTGTGCACCCTTCTTCTCGATAAGAGTGTAGCCATTTCACTACATCCAAGTGTCCTGCTGTTGCTGCGAGGTTCATAGCGTCGCTAGTGCATCCTTCTCGTCGATACTCATGTAGCCACTGTACGACGTCGAGATGGCCATTTGCTGCGGCTTTATTCATTGCGCCTTGAGTTGCATAACCCGAGTGGTTCTGTAGCCATTGCAACACGTTCAAATGTCCTCCTGCTGCCGCGTCATCCATCGAAATGGAGGACGAGCTGGAGCTAAACAAGTTTGAGCGTAGCCATCTTAGCACCTCCAAGTGGCCGCCGCTAGCTGCAAGTACAGCTGCATAGGGAGACCATTCTCCTCTCACCTCACACAACCATTGGACCATTTCCAAGTCTCCGTTCCTTGCTGCCTCTTCCAGAGTCACAAAGAACATGTGTGTAGGAGGCGGAGCAGTGCGTTCATGTAGCCATTGAGCTACATGTAGATGGCCGTGTTTGCCCGCGAAAAAGAGCTCTCTCGCCCCCCAGAACACAGTGAGCTCTCGTCTACGGCTTTTGTGCAATAGCCACTCGAGTATTTGCAGTTTTCCGTGCTTAGCTGCTTCTTCAACTGCAACAGTGACTCGACAGTTTGGGAACATGTCAACAAGCCACTTGAATGCCTGTACGTCGCCTCTAGCAGCGGCGGCTGCCGCGGCGCGTGTGAATTCCCATTGTTGATAAAAGCTGTCATGCTGTCGCTTACATACGAGCAAATTGCAGGCAGCCGCAGTGGCACGGTGCGCCGCAATGCGCTCTAGCAGACGCAGTGATACTCCGTCACCGTCAGGCGATGCGGTGCCGTGTGCACAGGCCGACGCGATGCTCCAGCGCGCTGAGTAGTCCAGGAAGCTGCTCACGGCGGCTGTCACGTGCTTGAGCGGAGCGAGACGTGGCTGTGCGCGACACACTACAGTGGCCGATGTGAGCGAAGACACCATTGCCATGCTGGTGTCGAAGTCAGTTGAGTGTCTTTTGATAGTTCGACGGAGCGGAGCCGGGCGAGTTGTCGGCGTCCTGTCTGACGAGTTGGCGAATGGTAAATGTTTGCCTGCGTCGACAGCGTTGGGCTCAGAGTCTTCACCATAACTCTTTGTTCGCTTCAGTGTCCAAGGTACTAGTGGAAACAACTTGGTGGTCGTTTTGCGCCTTACGGTACTTTAACGTTCGAAATAGAACGGCCGCAAAAAAAATACACTGAAAAAAAGCATCACTGTGCTTTTTTGCGATGTGTGAGCGTGCACCTCATCCCCGTATTTTGCGGCTTGATGATCCCGCGCTGCGGTACCGTATGATGAAACAGTGAATGTTGCCAGGAAACAGCCACTCGACATTTGGATTTGCTCTTTGTTGATCGAAAAAAATCAAGCTATTAATAACCACTTCAGTGTACTGTTGCGCACAGTTTGTCAAATGCATATCCTGGCGTGGACTCCATACAGTTTTAACTTTGTGGTTGAGGCGCAACACGGCAGACTTGCATCATCGCCGTCGAACAGGCGCTGCAAGCTGATTTTGGTGAACCACTCATTTAAGCGTGAGTCCGGTATAGAACTCGTTTCGGGAGCGTTTTTGTGTGTGATATATTCGGCTATTTTCTTCGTCGTGTTAATTTGGCTGCTTATTATGGAATTATACACCCATATTTGACAATTCAGCCGATATTTATGGTTTCTGACAATTATTTCAGTTTCAGAAAGTGTTATTTTGTGGATTGGGGTGCAATAAGCCAAAACAAAATCTGGTTTAATACTTTTCATTAAACTTAATTAGTCTAAAGCTAGACTATATCTTGAAAATATCATTTTAAACAATAAATACACCGATTGAACTTGGAGGCGGGTTGCCAAATTGATATCGATGCCCTTGCGACTATGTCGCAAGCTTCCAGCGAAACCCGAGAGCTCCCGATGGGCGAAACATCAAGAGACCAAGAGACCAAGATATCATGGGTTGAGGATCCCAATAACGTGGCCCGGCTGCCTACCCAGCACGAGATTCTGACGAAATCACACGCTCGTACTGTAAGACACATTTTCGTGAGCCGAGACGTCCGAAATCACGTACGTGAAAATGCGATCGGTGCGGAAATTTGAGACCCGTGTCGATAATATCAACGGAAAGTTACCATCCACTTTTTTGAAGAGTCTTGAACAGGCTCCCCAAGCGCCGACTTCTGCTGAGCACGGTGCCCTTTTTTATGGCACCGTTGTCGAGTGGCCAAGTGACATTAAGCGCGATGATAAATGCCCAAAGTCATCTCAGATCCAGTTCGAGGTCGACTGTGTGGACACTTCTTGTTGGTGCTCGAAACCTTGCTCTCCAGGTATTTGTCGAAATTGAAAAGAGGGTGTCGTTTGTGTCACAAGAACGTGTAGCCAGAATTCAACCAGCTGCGGACGACAAATGAAGATTGCTCGAGAACTGGGACTGCGAGTGAAGGATGAGGGTATTTGCCTGTGTATGGCTCGTAGAATTCGTGAGAACTGCGTAGTCTGCCCTTATATTGGGAAACTGCGCGTGACGGATCCTTTAGAGCGGTATACCGTGAAGTTGAAGACGAAGGATAAGCGGAATCGGAACGTGTTCCTGGCTGCCAAAGCTGTCGGAAACATGGGCCGCTTTATTATTCACAGTTATATAGCGAACTGCCGAAATGAAGAACTCAATGGGGGTGATGGGCCAGAAATCGCGATTGTCGCGTCTCATACCATTGATCCAGGTGAAGAGATAAAAGCAAATTACGGGCCGAACCAGAACTTCTACCACACGTTTGGATTCTCTCAATGCGTTGACAAGGATCGTCATGACCCATTGGTGAAGGAAGAGGTGCATTCAAGACTTCGTAGCGGTAAGTGAGCAGAAACAGCAGGACGATATCAAGAGTAGCAATAGCGTAGGTATTTTCATGATAGAGTGCGTTTAGGTAGGTCGTAGGTAGTTCGTAAAATTAGGGTATAGCAGCACTCGTCGTCATTAACTCCAATACAATCATCATTTTCGAAAAATCCATTATTAATTGAATCATCGTCATTTGAGATCAGAATTTTGGGGTCGGTACAAAGTCCCGCCGTACATAGCACACGCACGTTAACCCCAACCGCGGCTGTGCAGGGCGCTCCCTAATGTGTATTGAAGCTGTACGCACTGCGTCAGCACGTTACAATTGCATGCGGACTAAGTGAGGCGGTTGCGAATAGAAATTTCTCCACATCGAACTACTGTCCATAGTAGCCATAGTAGAATTTGGTCGGTACAAAGTCCCATCGTACATAGCACACGCACGTTAACCCCAACCGCGGCTGTGCAAGGCGCTCACTAACATGTAGTGAGGCTGTACACACTGCGTCAGCACGCTACAATAGCATGCCGACTAAGTGGGGACAGGCTGATAATCTTGGGTCTGGTGCTCAGGTGGAAGCAGAACTTGAAAATGGGGACCAATTCTACGAAGGAGCTTATTCAGTTTGCGATCGTGGAATCGATTGGCCATTCGCTTTAAATGTAATCGGGCATAGGCCTTGGCACGGCAAGAAACATACCGGTGGGAAGACTGTATGCTTTGAAAAATCTTGTAATTTCGATTATCCAGAAGGGGTATAGTACTGCGGATCTGATGATGTGAAACACCAAGAGAAGATTGACTTTACCGTAGCTCTGAATACATCGCGGTGTGAAACATACATTGGTCATGTACACCACATTTTCCCATATGATAGACATTTCAGCTAATAATGAAAGAGGATCCAAGAATTCGGGCCACACCTCGAGTGCTATCGTACATGACCGAAATAGGTGTTTCACCGTTTCTGTATGTGGACATCCATGGGGACAATTTGCATCGTTATTCGTGTACCGATACTTCCTTCGGACATTTAGGCCATTGTATTGCACGCGGAACCTTAAGTCACTTAGAATTGGCAGAGCGTATTTATCAAGATATAAATCCTTTTTCCACATTGTATTCCAGTCAGGCAAATCAGTGATCTCAAGAGCAACGTAAGGCCAAGTTGTTATTTCCGGAAGACTGTGAAGTTGTCTATAGAAATCGTCGTTTCTCATTGTCTGGATCGTCCTACCACGGAATACCCAGTTGTGAGTCGTCGCTATAACTGCAGGTCTCAGTCTGGGGCCTAGTGCAATATCATGTCCGAGTAGGTCCCACTTCAGTAAGAGTTTGTAGAATACTGATGTTGATAGAGTTGTAACCGGGGGTAGCCGAATGAAAAGCCGTCTAGTACATCACGAAGCAGTTCCAGGTTTACTTGTTTCCCATTAGTATCTACGAAATCGAAAATACGAATATAGCCTTTATCTCGGAAAAGCTCTACGGACTCAGAGGTTCTTTCAAGCGGTCTCTGAAGCGCTCCCACTAGAAACATGGAATTATTCCAGAGTGGCGCTTTTAGGGCCGTTTTCCATAATAATCGGTCATCTAAGTGGTTGGACCGAAGTCTGTTCCAGTTCTGTAGTGTTGTAAACCAAACGTCACCGAGTACCTTCCATCGTTCAGATACTGGTTTCGTTTTAGGGATATTGGCGTACAGGATATCAAATCCAACACCGCTATTTTCTAAAGCGTAAGTGCAGAGTGCAGCGGCTGGTTCAAACCATCGTGGTGGAACGAAGTTGTTGCTAGCTGAGGATATTGCATCTTTAAGGATACATAATCTCATTGCCGCACAAAGCTCCTTCGTCTCAGGGAGTTCAGTTCCGCCCTTGGTCATCGGCCAATACAGCCATTCTTCAGCGAAATCTCCAGTAATGAGCATATTTACTGAAATCTCTTTCTTAAAAAGAAAAGCTCTACACAAATTCCGATTTGAGATATAAGCCTGATATTGATTGGTGTCACCGCTGCAGTATATCAAAAAGTGGCAGGACTATGGTGCATAGAATAATAGCTCGACCTCTCAGTGCTCGATCACGATATTTCCATAGTAAAAATCTACTAACCATCTTG